GTTGAAAAATAACAATTCCTTGCAATTGTTTAAACAATTTTGGTTTAAACAATATGGCACCGGGTTGCCCCATGGCAACATGCATTTATATCATCAGTAGGGCAATTTGAAGAGGATTGCATAAAAAAATTGAGGTGGAATAGTTTTCGGTACTCATGCGCCGATTCCTCCTGGACTATATACAATGCATCACGTTCTTTGCACTTCTGTTTAAGATCTCTAGTCAGCCACGGATTTGAAGGTCTCGACAATCTATGTGAAACTACAGGTGCAAATTCATCTAAGGAATTTAGTACGTTTGTGTGAAAAATGCTAACTAAATCGTTTGGATCAGCATTATGTAGGAAGTCATTAGAAAATTTTAAAGCACCCAAAAGTAAATTTGATAGAGCATCATGGCTATGTTCAGAAAATTTACGATATGTGATCAATTTGTCAACTTGTTTGGAGACATCAAAGGTATAATCACATACTAAATAATCGTGGCCACTAATAAATGGTTTAAGTGACTTGAAATATGACTTTTGTTTAATCTTATTATCCAATAATACAACATCTAACCATGAATTTTTATCAACAATATGATGGGTAACTTCAAATGGGACACAGTGTAACGATAATTCAGCAATATAATTCTTCAAGTGATTTGAAACAAAAGAAGTATCAAGCAAGTCACAGTTCAAGTCACTTGTTATAACAAGATTTTTATAATTAGCCATCAACTTTGAGAGATTCTCAAAGAATTCATTCAATAGATAATCTTTAGGCCTCCGATAGATAACTGACAATAAAAGATGTTCACCAGTACACGAGACAACATCAAGTATTAAGTACTCTGGTTGATTAATATGATAAGACGTTGAAGTAAAAAGAATTTTTGCTTTTAAAGAATTATGAATATAACAGGCAACGCCACCACCTTTCAAAAATCGACCAGTGTCAGGATGTGTTAGATACCGATCCCTTCTAAACATAGTATAATTATTCAAATTAAATAAAGAATCATTAAGAGTAGGTTTAAGCCATGTTTCAGTTAAGGCAACAATGTGCGGTTTAATTTCAGCAACTAAGTTTATTACTTGAGCAAAATGACCATTTTAACTATTTACATTCAAACTTAACAGCCTTACAGACGTGAACTTTCCAGTTGATTTATTAGAAAAATCTAGTTTATGTTAATTCAACTTATTCAGATCGGAGGTCGAACCAATCTTAATCTTAGCAGAATTTTCATCCTTTTTAACAAATACAACACCATGTTGTGCCCAAGTAAATTTAAAATCTAAAGTTTTAGCCTTAGCTCTCGTGACCATGAGTAGCTTATACAAAGCCGGAGGTAAAAATTCGTTTATATAAATATTACCTTTACATGAATCGCCAACCACAGTAGAGAAAATATTATTTACCGGTAATAATTTTATTTTTCTTTTCAATTCAAGAATGTGATCACGTATTTGAGGAGATTTTAATTTAAGTAACAAAGTATTAAAAACTGGCCTAATACTCGACTTATTATTAGTACTACTAATTCTACTACGACTTGAGGAAGACTTCCTCTCTAATTTCCTTATACTTAACACATCAGGTACTAAATGAGGCACTTTTAGTTCATCAAAGATTCTCGAAACAACACCCTTATCTGATAGGGCTGCTACTACAGCTTCTGGGATACCCGAGATGACCAGCTCAGACGAAGTATTAGTAGCAGATACAATAGACGACCCTGAAGGTGAATCCGAAGTCAAGGAAGCCAAAACTCCAGAATTGATTGCAATTTTTTCTTCTAATGTAGCCAACGTGGAATCAAATTTAGCCATATCTTTCGCGTTTTTAATTGCATTTGCTTTTAAATCAGTGATCTCATTCATAGCTACAGTATGCTCTTTCTGTAAATCATCCAAACGTTTGCCAAAGTCATCAAATTTAGATGACATAACACTAAAGTCTCTTCTAATACCGGGAATTTCAGCAATGATTTGTGATTGAGCAGCTATTGACAGCATCAGAATTGTCAATCTATCATCAGTCGACATATTTGACCAGCCATCTGGCAAGACACGAGCAGATTGAGCGACCACTGTTGGATTTGATTCCATGTTATAAGTTTCCAAGGATTTAGAGCAATCACCTACTATTGCTGATGAAGTTGTAGTGTTATCATTCAAATCGAGATCCCTTGAAGTATCGTTAGTCATTATTAAATCAGAAATCGGTGAATAAAAGACTGAATCGCTTGCTGGTGAGAGTGGAAAAATTGGAGTTACTGGTGACCCAAGATTTGACCTTGACCCAGTCTGTGATTTAGATTTACTGTTACGGTAATACTGTTTTGTCAGATGATTTAGTAGAAAGCTTCGACGGCTTAGAAATTGGTAACGAGTTGATTGAGGTAACAGATCTCGAAGCTGCCACACGACTCCTGGTGACTGTTGAGTTCGAATCAAGTGGCAAGAGTAGGTGATTAAGTCGTATTCTACAACAGTCAGTTGGTACTTTGCTTTTTATATAATCACGTGCACAGCTTGGGTGGAACGATTTATTACATTTGTCACACGTTACAGCCGACTTTATAGGCTTATTACATCTGACACAAATATCAGACAATAATGACATAACAACTTAGTAGATAAATACTTTAAAACGTATCAAAAGCATTCTAGTAAAAATTTACACTCAGCAAGCTGATAAGTACATTCCAATAGCATGAAAAATAAAATTCATTAACAGCAAGCCAGCAGTTTAGCTACGGTCACTCACACCACGATAAAGTGTTTACGCAGTAAGACCAGCTACCGCTCTACTGAGCGGTATAGCAGCAAACCAGGAGTATAGGTACAATTACCAATACTAAGATATCAATAATACACACTTTATAATCAACTAACACAGATTACTAACAACTATAGTAACATGTACTGATACCAGGGTACAAAGACCCACATATAAGCGAGCCACAGATCCACTGCGTCAGAATAGATGCGCAATAGATCCAAAGTTTAACCTCACTAGGAATTCTTATTTACAGATCAGAAAATTGCAATTTAATGAGCTTAAACAACAATCTTGCACATAACTTTATATATAAATTTAAAGAGGATAATTTCTTGAACCAGATATAAACAATTTTGAAATTATCTATTAATTTATACAGGCAGCAAACTTCTAACAAGTAGAGAGCAAAAATACGTGTAAGTTACAGTTCGAAGGTATACTGAACTCAAACTGAAGGTTTATTGAACTCAATAAAAAATAAGTATCCAGTGTGCACTACAAGAATAAATTGGAAATATAGTTTTTATCATTTTGCGAATGTTAATAAATAACGAGAAATGAAGTTTATTTTTAAATTTGTTTAAATTTCTCCGAGGATACTATTTCTCTTATAAATATTATGCCTTCTATCATTCTAAAGCGTGAATCATGAAACACAAAATCAGTAAAACGATTGACTCTGAAGGTCATTCCCGCGACTTCCCGCTACTTTCAAATGGTATGCACTCCAAATTTCTAGAATTTCGATGTCTTTAAGCTTTTCAGGCTCAAAATCCAAGGTAGAATTGTAATTTTCTTTTGAGCTTTTTAAGTTCACAAGTCTTTTTATATTTAGTAAAAATTTATTTGAAAATATTTGAACGGCAATTTCTTTCGAAATTCATTGAAAAAAATTGATTTGACAAAAATTTGGTACAAAAAAAAAGAATTTTCAGAATGATCCGTGTCCTCCAGGGCATTCTCAGCAGAAGCTGAACAGCGCATAATTTACTCTCCTAGCTTGTACAAGATTATAAAACTGACATCAGCATCCTCTCAGAGCAATACAAAACGTCACCTAATAACAGGTAGCACTCGGACGATAGCGGTACAGCTGCTATCTGGATTGTCAATCCACCCTCTGTCTACGTCACGTCTAGTGTTCACGGCTCAGGATATGTCTGGATCACAATTCCTCAAACTCATTACTAGGGCCAGGAATTTGGTTTTGTTAAAAGACAAAGAAAAAAGATAGGCGGGGCCAAGTTCTCTGATTGGTTGAAAAAAAATGAATTTGTTTTGTTTCTCGCAAGAACCTGAAGCCAGTAGCATAGTAAAAAAAAATCGGATTGCTAAACCAAGATAAGAATATATTTAAAAAAATGCTGATGATGACGCTAAATTCAGCAAACTCTCGACGATGTTGTAATAGCATGTTTTCACGATAGTGGAAAAAAAAAATTTTGTGGGTAGGGGCGTCAGCGTCGAGTTTTAGTATGACGCTGCGTCGAGTCGCCACATATCCAGGCCAACATCTATGCCTAGAATCCGTAAAAAGGATTCCCCCCCCCTCAAGAAAAAAAAAAACAACACACACACACACACACATACATACATACACATACATACAGACATACGGACACCCTCGCGGGAATAGTCAGGAAAGCTTCCTAGGACCTCAAAACATCGAGATCTGATGAAAACTCGATTTTTGCAAAACGGGATGAAAACAATAACTTTCCGATTTTTAAAAATCTGAGATTTTTAGCGGGAAGTTGAAAATTAACTTCAGTATACATCTGTAAGTACTAGCTTGCTCTTGATTCAGATTCTGTAATGAAATTCAAGTTTAATTTTGAAAAATCACTGCTCATAGGAAAAATTATCCAAATTGCAATGAAAGAAATTATTCATAATTCACAGTTAATACTTCACGAAAAGACATGTGTTGATTATATTAGAAACAGTCAAATTTAATAAATTTTGAAATAATTACATACAGTTACCAAAAAATTCTTCGAAAAGTTGCTTAGAAAGAATCTTTGCTTTGAAACAATTCCAAATTAGCCGATTACAATAAACTATGTTGTTGCTAGCACTTTATTGCAGTCTCAGTAGGCAGCAACTATTTTGTGTACGCCTTTAAGTCTCAAAAATTCTCGGTTAAAGTTAGCATATCCCCGAACAATTATGTGTAATTGTTCTGAATCGGCCGATTATAGGTCACTACTCTTTTCGGCACATTTCTGGTATCTTAGTAATATTCTGAGCAGCAACTTATTTTTAAATACTGATTAGTCTCAGAAATTGTCGGTTCAAATTAGCATATCTTGGGAAATCATAAGTAATTGATTGAAATCAGCTGATCACCGGGTACTATTTTGTTGCTGGCACTTTTTCGGTGTCTCAGTGATACTCTGGACAGCAACTAATTATTAAACACTTGTTAAGCTTAAAAAATCTCGGTTCAAGTTAGCATATCCCGGAAAATTATAAGTAATTGATTGAAATCAGCCAATCACCGATTACTATTTTGTTGCTGGCACTTTTCCGGTATCTTAGTGATACCCTGGGCAGCAACTAATTATTATATACTTGTAAGCCTTGGAAAATCTCGGTTCAAGCTAGCATATACCGGAAAATTATAAGTAATTGTTCGAAATCAGCTGATCACCGGGTACTATTTTGTTGCTGGCACTTTTCCGGTGTCTTAGTGAGACCCTGGGCAGCAACTAATTATTACATACTTGTAAGCCTTGGAGAATCTCGGTTCTAGTTAGCATATCCCGGAAAATTATAAGTAATTGATTGAAATCAGCCAATCACCGATCACTATTTTGTTGCTGGCACTTTTTCGGTGTCTCAGTGATACTCTGGACAGCAACTAATTATTAAACACTTGTTAAGCTTAAAAAATCTCGGTTCAAGTTAGCATATCCCGGAAAATTATAAGTAATTGATTGAAATCAGCCAATCACCGATCACTATTTTGTTGCTGGCACTTTTTCGGTGTCTCAGTGATACTCTGGACAGCAACTAATTATTAAACACTTGTTAAGCTTAAAAAATCTCGGTTCAAGTTAGCATATCCCGGAAAATTATAAGTAATTGATTGAAATCAGCCAATCACCGATCACTATTTTGTTGCTGGCACTTTTTCGGTGTCTCAGTGATACTCTGGACAGCAACTAATTATTAAACACTTGTTAAGCTTAAAAAATCTCGGTTCAAGTTAGCATATCCCGGAAAATTATAAGTAATTGATTGAAATCAGCCAATCACCGATCACTATTTTGTTGCTGGCACTTTTTCGGTGTCTCAGTGATACTCTGGACAGCAACTAATTATTAAACACTTGTTAAGCTTAAAAAATCTCGGTTCAAGTTAGCATATCCCGGAAAATTATAAGTAATTGATTGAAATCAGCCAATCACCGATCACTATTTTGTTGCTGGCACTTTTTCGGTGTCTTAGTGATACCCTGGGCAGCAACTAATTATTACATACTTGTAAGCCTTGGAGAATCTCGGTTCTAGTTAGCATATCCCGGAAAATTATAAGTAATTGATTGAAATCAGCCAATCACCGATCACTATTTTGTTGCTGGCACTTTTTCGGTGTCTTAGTGATACCCTGGGCAGCAACTAATTATTACATACTTGTAAGCCTTGGAGAATCTCGGTTCTAGTTAGCATATCCCGGAAATTTATAAGTAATTTTTCGAAATCAGCTGATCACCGGGTACTATTTTGTTGCTGGCACTTCTGCGCGGGAATAGTGTTACCGTGTATAGCAACAAATTATTAAATGATTCATAAGTATTGTAATTTTGTTTTCAAGATAGCTGATAGTCGTCTTTTTTTTTTTTTTTTTTTTCAATTACCAGCTTGCAGCAACAAATTAGCAACAAATTCATGCTTGATGACCAATGGAATATGCATTATTTACTACGTTTCCCTGCTAGCTTTATATGAAGTTAGCAGTTTTCGCGATATCTAGAGATTGTTTTGAGCAACAAAATCGCGATTTTAGCAACCAATTAGCAACAAAAAAGCTACAAATTTTCGAGTATTTTTTATTGAGTTTTGCTGATTTACCCCTGCTAGCTTGATAGAGCTTTACCAAGAAGTTCTACATAATTGGTAATTCAGGTATTATTTTTCTTCATATATTTCAATATATCTCATATTACAACCTGTTGAATAACTATCATTCATAACTTTCGCCTTCGTAACCTGTCAATTGTTATTATGCCGGTATTTCGGGATCACTTTTACATACCGTATTGATCATTTCTACATGTACAATCAGCATTCATAGGAGATTAAATAATATTCAGTATTAAAACATGAATGACTCATCAAGTTATATTCTTTCATTAGTGCAAGATGTTGTCATACTTGACTGAGGTGATGTCACCAATTGCTCGGTATGCAAATAATCTGTTAATCTCTAGGTTCTCTACTCGTGTGCTCGTGTGAATGCTGATAAGTTCGTTAGCGTCCAAACTTCTCTCTGTGCTCATCACTCGTATTATCGCTCGTAATAAATATTGTCGCGTCATCAATAGTGATTATTGCGACATAAATCAATTAATTTACTCGTGTAATAAATTCAACAATTGATATTGTTAATTAACATAATTATCATCGCTCAGAACAAATTTAATAAATATTGGCATTTGATGCCACGTGTATTAATAACTCATAATTCATATTTCTAATTCAATAATGATAACAGTACTCGTGTCCAAATAATTACATATTTAGATTAAATAATAATAACAATAATACTACTCATGTTTAAATAATTAATTAATTAAATTAAATTACTTTGTTAATAGATATTAAGAGTTCATGTGT